AACAACATGCAGTCTTCATTTAAATTATACATTTTTTAATATGTTCGTATTACTGATTCTACCCTTCTTTTTTTTCGGCGGGTTTTATTGCTGTAGTTTCTCCCCATGATTACTGTTTAGTGTTTTATTTGTTTAATTATCATTATGTTTAGCAACTGTACTTTGAAAATGTATAAAGACTGATGTAAATTCATTTTATTCTGCTTTAGATACTGAAGATGGAATCTGATAGAATTCCGAAACGTTTATCCATGTCCCCTTTTTGTCAATAAACAATATTGTATATCATAAGTGTCGTAATCTTGTTATTAAACTACTTTTTGTTTAAGTTGTGCCAGTTAATATATCATAAATTCTCAGATAATAATCCATATTTTAATAGCATGTAAGTTTTAAGTTCTTAATTATACATGGCAATATTTTAAAAAATCCTGAATTTCCCATAGTGTGACACACGATACATTTTTTCTAGGCATTTTTTATTTCTCTATTTTATCTACCACCCCTCCAAAAAGTACAAAATTAAACTTAAATTACTCACTATAAAATCATCATTGCTCAGATAAACCATAATTTTTATAGCTTTCAATCTTGTTTGGTTACAGAGCGATCAAATAGAAAATCAAACCCCTCCTGCCCCACCCACCCACCTGTCACATCCTCTCTTTCAGGATTTGTTAATAGTTCTCTCTTATGTTTAATAATATATTATTTATAACAATAGAGAGCCAAGGTTTTCTTCTATCAAATGACGTATTATATTACATTGTTTTCTGAACAGAGAATTGTCAATTCCTCTTTTAGTACAAGATTTGTTCCTGTGGGAAACATATCAACTAGCTTGGATGCATTTGTAACGGCTCTTGTTGCATAGTTAGAAAGCCAAAAAAGTTTTGAGTCTCAGGGGAAGTTCTCTACGTTTTGCATGTTATTATTCTATGTTTTCTGGTGCATTATTTAATTAAATAAAAATTATTTAGTGAATTACTACCATTAGTATAAAAAAAGTAGGGTTAAGTATCATCGACAATCAACAGCAAGAAAAAAGAAGACCCGGGTAAGTAATTTGTTTATTATTTTTCATGTTTATTCTTTATTTATTATTATAAAAGTAACTAAAATGTAAAAATAGGGATCTTTTTACGTTAGTTAAAATCAGATTAGGTAAAATAAATAATAATAAAATAAAAATGTTTCATGAGGCATGCATTCGAGCAGCTTGTGATTAATGTAATTCAATAGCATAACGTGAGCTGCATGTTCCCCAAGTGATTTATAACTTATAACGCAGCAGATAGTAGACACAGTTCAAAAGGCAATAAAACAATAAAATTTAATAATAAATAGTTGTATACTGTTATGAGTTTAAAGGTACTTAGGATGAATGAATGTAGTTTCATGCTACATTTGAAGTCATTCTAGAAAGAAAAAGAAGGTAATTTAGATTTTTGTTTTTTGTTGATGTTGTTTTTTTTTGGGGGGGGGGAGAGGTATGGGCTCAGTCAAATTGACCAACCTTGTATAGACTTAAGGTAAGGATAATAATAGATAAAATATATAGATTTACTGAAAAGAAACATTTAAAATGTATTTATGAGGTTTTAGAGATTACACAAATGAAATTTGATATTTTTAGTATGAAGAAAAGTATTTTTAATCTTAACATGAAAATCACTTTGCACACAAACTATTCAAAACAAATACTCAATATATTCATAGACAAATCTTTATTTTTGTTTATTAAAAATACTCCACTAAAAATATGATTTTTTTTTATGTGAAAGAATTATAATGTTAAATGAAAGACTGCCAAATTTTGTGAAGATATACACACACTATGTTGAAAATTAGAAGTATTAAGTCCATAAAGACTTTAAACGAGTACAAAGAGGTCACATGGTTTGCCATATTGACTGAGCCCATGTTGAGAGTTAATAACAAACAAACATAATGTGACTATTTCATTTACTTGGATACTTGGAGTAATAGAAAATAATAATAATCAGAAGTTATAACTTCAATTAGTTTATTATATTTGTGAGCTATGACAATAATCAATTAAATTGAAAAACTTTAATTGATTGAAAATAATAATGAAAAATCATAATGGCAATATTTCAATTACTCAATAGTTGGAATAATCAGAAACACTCATTTCAATTACTTGATTATTTTCATGACATTAATTGATTTAACTATAACTCCAATTAGATAATTGGAATCACTAGTTGATTACTTTCGTGACATTAGTTGATTACTTTACATGACACTAATTGATATAAATAATGCTCATAAGTAATTGATTTTTTATAAGACAATAATCATTGTAATTGATACTCATAGATAATCGATTATCTTACATGACACTAATCGATATAATCGATGCTCATAGGTAATTGATTTTATTGCCCAGCTCTATCAATCAGTAATGTACTTTCACTAATACTGGACTAAGGTGCAAATATTCAAAGATAATATAAACTATTGGAAATAATCATGGCAATGCAAAGGTGATACACAAAATGAAGTCACAAACAATGAGTAATTGCAAATAAATGGCCAATTTATCATTAGTGTAATACATTATTACATAAAATACAAAAGAAAAACAAATATTCAGAACAATGCACTAGTACCGTGAATTTTGAAGTTGTTTTAAACAGAGCAGTACACCTTGTTGATATACTACTATTAAGTTTATCAATGTATGAGTGTGAAATATGGTTCCAAATGTCATGTATTATTCTCTACAATTCATCCAAGTTTCTTGGATGCCATCTGACTTTGTTTTTATATAAGCCCATGTAATCATAATAATATTCATATCAGGACTTTGTGCAGGTCAAGCCATGATTGTGACACCATTCAGCCAAGTTGTTTAGCTGCCATTTGACTTCTTAGTTTCCATATAAACCCATACAATTGTAATAATGTTCGCATTATGATTCTGTGCATGCCAAGCAATGATTGCGAATGTTACATTGGCTTCTATTTCTTTTCAGGCCATTTCATCACATTTGCTGCATGCTTGGAATCACTGTTTTGTTGGAAGATAAATCTCTGCCCAACAGAGCATGTTCCTGATGGAATGATATAAATAAATTGTTTGTACTTGTCAGCAGGAAGGGTACCATCAATTCTGTGTAGAAATGCACCTCACATTTGTATTGGTCCCTCAGTATTTTTCACTGTATATATTGCATGTTAACCATGATAATGTTCTCCTTTCTGCTATTATTTTAATTTGTAAAGAGCATGCTCATTCAGTTTTGTTCATCCTACTGTTTTAAGTCTGGCATTTCAGTCTTTTGATTTGTTTCTCTCTGCTAAGCAACTATATATATATTGAAGCCACTTCATGCTAATTTATAAATTTGTTTTGGAATTAAAATTCACATTTCAACTTACAGCTAGGTCTTTAACAAGATTTTTACTGAACAATCCTGTATCATGTAAAGAGCATGAAATTTTGCCTCAGTCTACAAAATGAAGTAGCTGAAAGCTAAAAGAGACAAACCAAACCAATAATCTACACATAGCTGATTGCTGCATAATCTAGCAGAAACAGAATTTTTATTTAGATTTTGTTTCCAGCAAATTTTATTTTATTACTGCTTTCTTTAAAAATCTAAATTAGCTATATACAAATTTTATAATTTCACAGTAAAAGACAATTAGGAATTTTTTCAACTGAATGGCTAAACAGCCTAGTTAGAGACCCCTAGGGTTATTCAGGTACAGTCATCAATAATTATATATTACTGGCCATAAGAAAATAGCAGCACCTGCTGCCATATGAATTTTTGCACATATATGAATCAAATAAAAGGATTTACTTTCAATTTTACAATGCACAGCTGAAAGTGTAAATTTACTTAGCAGCATCATACCTGAGGTCCATAATCTTATTCACTAGGTCATACCTGGCTTCACAGAAAAAGAAATAAGACATACTGAAAGTCCCATCCTAAATGCTTCAAAATTTTGGTCAACAAATATATTAAAACAAAAGAAATATACAAAAATATTGTAAGGAAGTATATATCAGATCAATTGTTTTTAATAAAAGGTTATTTGGTGGATCAAAATATACCTGAAAGTTATTGAGATGAGTTTTCAACAGGTCTTCTTCCAGATTTTTTATTTCTACTTTTCCTTCCTTCTCTGTATTACAAATTAATAAATTCAAAAAACACATGTTAATTTCAAAGCTATTAAACGTTAGTGTAAACTAAAAAAAATGAATAGTAATACTTTTATTGTACTAAAAACAAACTGTCACCCAAATAAGATCTTGAAAGCACTAAGAAACTGTATTATTTATAATACTTTTAATGTTGCATATTTTTAATTTACAGATTATTTATCTTTCTGCATGTTGTCACAAGAACAGTAACTCCAGGAATACAACATTGGCTTTCCACAGACAGAACATCACCTGCAAGGAATGATCTTGAATGAGCTTTAGTGATGCTGCTGAGATATAACCATCTTTAATAATAGCTGCAATAAAAACTATTCAACAATAAATATTTGTTTGTTTGTTGAATTTCACACAAAGCTACTTGAGGGCTATCAGCACTAGCCATCACTATATTAGAAGTGATAGTCTAGAGGGAAAGTGGGTAGTATAGACTAGATGCTTTCCCTCTAGACTACATCTAGTCTACACTACCCACTGCCAACTCTTGGGCTACTCTAATCAAACAGTGGGACTAACTGTCATATCTTACCATCCCCACAGCTAAAAATCTGAGCATGATCAGTAATAGGATTGCGATTAATGATCTACAGATTGGGAGTCAAGTGCCTTAACCATCAGGTCCTTCCAGGCCCTAAAATTTTGTATGCTAATGCATTATGCAGTACAGGTGTAAACAAGTACCTCAATAGTCCTAGTACTAATCAACACAGAGTAAGCAAATGTGATACTGACAAACCTCAGTATATTTTAGTACATATACTATTAAAGAAAACTCATAATTTAAATTCATAATCGTAGTAAAAAATTAAACAAGTGTAATAGTGATAAACCTCAACATAATTTATTTTTTTGTTTCTAGTTATTTGGAAGAAGTGGATTAGTTTGGTACTAGTAGTAATTAATACTAAAAGCTGAGTGTACCCATTAAGGAAGCAAAAACTATATAATGGACATTGTCAGATAATGTTCCCATTCCTTTTTTCTTTTGTTATTAAATCCCTAATGAGCTCAGCAGATTTTAATTGTACACCCTGCTTTGTGGAAGGTAGTATTTGACTCATTTTAATAAAAAAGTTTAGAAAAATACAACTCTTACACTCCAAATATGCATAATTTTTTCAACCTACATTTTGCCTTTGCAGCTTCCTCAGGTTTAATATACACAACTGTTTGATATTAGAATAGTCGTTAAATTATAAAACTGTTTGTAATGTTCTGTTTCTTGAGTCTGCCCTAACGTGCATCTAACAATATATAAATTATTATAATTATTTCATTATCATTCTAACATTATAGTATAGTTATAATATCAACTATACAGCTATACTAACATATGACATATATAACTATGAGATATAAAAATAAAGAGAACTACAATATGTTTTATGATTAGCTAAAAAATATGTAAGCAGAAAATAGAAGCTGCTAAGAGACAATAATACATGGAAAGGATTCAAAGTTTATAAGTAGTGTTAAAAACAAATTGTAAGACTGTGTGATACTCCAGAGTACACAAGTGTTAAATTGAAAGTAACAGTGTCAAGTGTATTGATATGATATGTTTTTGAATGGTGGTTTAATTATATGTATAACCAATTGTCCGTTCATTTTTGGACTTTTTTCATTAATGAGTATATCTTCCATATATTTCCTCTCTTTAAAATCTTTGGTTGTTTGTAAGATAGAAACTTTAAATGGATTTTCTGTGTTTGGGGTACCATGTTTGTATAGGAAGTGTTCTGCTGGAGCAGTTTTGTGTTGCTCATACATATATGTGTTCTGAGATGCGCATTTGCAAAAGCCTTCTGGTTTCTCCTACATATACATCTCCACATATATTACAAATGATTTGACAGACTACATCTTTGATGTGTTACATTTGTCCTGCCCCATTTTATCTGAGGTAGTATTGTTTTTTGACACATTTTGTTTGTGAGAATGAAGAGTAAACTAATAGTTCTTTCACTGTTTTACCTGTTATTTGCATTATGTTGATTGTCAGTTGAGACTGTTTAATGGCTTTACGAATTTTGGTTGTGATTGTGTTGTTGATGAAAGGAATGTTCATTGTGGGTGTTTTCATGTATGTTTTTTCTGTTTTGGGGTTTGTTGCTGTTGCAATGTTTTTGTTTTTTGCAATATGAAAACTGCTGATGTAATACTTGGGGTATCTGTTTCATATTAGTAATGTCTTAAAGTCATTTTGTGCTGTTTGAATGGCATTCTTCATGGAGCAGTTTTGATTTATTTTCTTTAATTCTCCTATTATTGTTCCCCTTTTGACTCGTTCTGGGTGGTGTGATTTGTAATGGAGAAATATCAGCTTCTTGCATTTTTTTGTTATGCATGGGGCTCCATATCTGTCTGTCTTGGATTTTTAGGGCTACATCTAAGAATGTTAAGTATCCTTCTGTGTTGGATAGTTTTAGTGTGAACTTGACTGATGGGTGGAAGTTGTTTAGGAAATAGAAAACTGCTGTAGTGTTTCTTTTCCATGATTCCAAATACCAAATATATCATCGATGTATCCGTACCACACTTGTGGTATTAAACCTGTTTTTTGTCTATATGTATCAAGGGCTTTGGTTTCTAGTGTATGCATGAATATTATAGCAAATGTGACTGCTGCTCTGTTACCCATTGCTACTACTTTCTTTTGTTTGTAGAAAGTGTCACCAAATTTAAAATAACTGTTGTATAGGACAAAATTGAGCATTAAGCATATGGTTTCTAACATGATGTTCGCTGGAAAAATGTGCTGATCAAGTGAAGATGTGAAGTTAATGATACTGTCTATGCCTTTTTCTATAAGTATGGATGGGTACAAGGTGATTACATCTAAGGAATATAAAATGGAGTCAGCACATCTTTTCTAATAGGTCTTTAGTATTGGTTAAGTGTGATGGAACATACTTTAAACACGGTTTAAACAGTTGATTAAGTAACCAGGATATGGTTTCTGTTGCAGAGTCATATGCTGACACTATGGGTCTTAAAGGTAAATTTTGTTTATGGTCTTTAGGAACTCCATATAGTTCAGGCATATGGCTATGGGAGGATTTTAATTCCATTAAAAATTTTCCAGCAAAGCATTTTCTTCTATTAAATGTTTAAGAATCTTTCAGGCTTCTTCTTCAACTGTCTTTGTTGGATTTTTGTTTCATGTTACATAGATGGAAGTGTCTTGGAGATGTTCCTTTATTTTACCTTGGTAACTGTTTCTGGTTAAGACTACAAAACCTTTCCCTTTGTCTGATTCTTTTATGATCAGATTGTCATTTGTTGGGAGCTCTTTTATAGCTGCTTTTTCTGCTGGTGAGATGTTATCTTTTTCTTGATGATTTTCATGTGTAGCTAGGATATTTTTTATCTGGTGCCATAGGAAGAAGATCTTTTGTTCTGTGGCTGTTGATGTTTTTGGCAGTTGATACTTCTGTGAGCCAAATGGGAGATTGCTGATTGATAGGTGAATCTGATTATCTCCTATTGGGTGTTGGTTGATAGAGGATAGAACATTGAAGATTTCACCTGTGTTTTCTATAGTTTTATGTGTGGAGTTTTTTAGGTGTTTTTTTCTTTCTTTAGTTTTAGGATGTTCTTTCCAGTGGACACTATACATAGCTTTTTCAAGTGATATTAAAATCTCTAGATGGGCGATGCCTGTAAGTTTTCTACTTAAAGCAATATTGAGACCTTTCGCCAGAAGTGGCATAGCATTGGGCTGAAGTTTTATATTGTTTTCTATTGTGACTGTTTTTTGGAACATTTCTGAGTCTTCTTATATCTTTAAATTAAAATCCAAAAGTCTATAAAAAAAGGAAAAATGTGACCTATCAGGGGCTTTTTTATCCCCCTTCTTGGGTAAAAATCTAAAAATAAAATAGCTGTCAGACAGTTTCCAGTTATCACATTAAAAATTATGTACCTTAAGCCAGCCAACTCTGGACAATAAATGCTAACACACACACACACATATAATGGATCATCTTTATAGTAATACATATTTAAGTAATATCAGCATGTTCAATATTTTTCTATGTTTATGCTTGTTTAAAATCAATAAATTAGCATTTTATGTTACAAACTTACCCCCCCCCAAAAAAAAACAATACAATAATTTTATCGATATAATTCATAGCGGCAGAATTCCATAATCATTGCACAATGAACCTCCTAACTGCCAAAAGATAAGTCTAAGGTTGTGGTGGCCACTCATAATTTACATGTATTACATGGAAGATATTAAATAATTTTCTTCTTTGAGAAAATACAAGATGTAATTAGGATTTTATCTAAATGTCATTTCTCATTCTATTTTAAATGGAGTCAAAATTAAAGTAAAGCAATTCATTCTTATTTATATAAGAAAAATTTTACTCCAACTTTAATGTGCAAAGTGTTTAATGAAAGCCACATTAAAAAATAATCCATTTTTAACATGGAGTTAAACAAAAGTATATCAGAGGAAAATACTTACCAAAGGACATCAAGAATGCCTGATAATAGTTCACATGGCTAGATGAAAAAACTTCGAACAAAGTAGACAACCCATCCAAACACAAAGTCCGTAGAGGATCAACTGTTGTTTTATTTTGTTGTGTATTACTCAAAACATCTTTACATATATGTTTCAAAAGTGACCTGCAAACCCATGTTTAGAATATTTGTATAGTTATTTCTGAGACATATATAATGAAAATATTTTTCAATATTTAACAATATCAAATTTAGTAGGTACAATCTGAAAAGAATAGTACGAAAATTAGGTCTTTTAACACATTCACTGCCAAGAAAGTTTGTAATTTTGTACTGCTATGAAAAAAAGGTATTCCCTTGAAACTTTCCAAAGTTTCAAGGTTAAGTTTGTAATGAAATATTAAAATGTGTCGTTTTGTTTTTTATTGTGTGTCTAAATATAAGCTTGGCAATGGGAGAGTTGCTTATCTATAATTGCTTAAGTGAAAAAGTAAAGATTAACTATCAACATAAGACTGAAGAAAAAATAATTATTTGGAATATTTTCTTCTTTCCCACCTTATCTTTAACCAGAATCTAAATAGACAGATAGCATAACTGGCCACTGTCATTTTATGTAGCACTAGATGTGTGATTGCAAAAGTAACCAGTACTTAAGTTTAAATAACATTAATTCCATTATTCATTTTTCCTTAAAAGCACTAAATTTACTCAAGCATTTATTCACATATGTGTTTCTTTTTTAATGTTTATTACACTTTGTATGCTACTTTTTACCTATATATTTCATTTTTATTTTAAAATATCAAAAATCAGCGTAATCTTGAATTTAACAATATTATGTTTTCAAGGCTTCCTTAACAATATTCTTCCACAGCACAGTGTCAAATAAAGAATATAATTGATATCAGACATTCAAACAAATCAAGAAAGATTTGGATAGGAGGTTTATATACTCCACATCGTCATCACTTTCTAAGTTTTTATTTTATCTTTCAAACTAAGTAGCTAAAATTTATGTGAACTTCGGTTTACCTGCCTATGGTGCAGAAATGTTCTACTAATCTATTGTCATTCTTTCCTTCGCATCCATCACAATTTCCCTTATCCTTGAACTGATTAATTCTCTGGACAGCCACTTTGACTATGAAGATTACAAACTTCTTTTCTTGCCTTAACAAAGTCAGTGAGTCCTCATGATCAGGACTACAATCACTAGAAAAAAACAAGAAAATTTTAAGAAATAACTCGGAAGTACAGAAAGTGTTTTAGTAACTTTTAGAAGTCACTGGCAAAGAATGGTTACAGTCACAAAAACAAATTACCATTAAAAATATCTTTAAAAATAAATAAAATAACCTTTTAAAAATAAATGGATTGCAGAATATATCTCAGCAATATTGAGGATTTCAATTATAAGTAATCTTTTAATACTTTTATGTATTCTTTTAAAGACACTGAAGGAAATTCAGAGTAACTGAAATGATAGAAACTACTATAGTAGAAACATTCTGTAAAGAGAACTGTTCATCAAACATATTGCTAACATACATGTGTAGAATGTATAATTAAAGTATCAATAACTGAATATAATTTTGAGTTTTTATTTGATAAAGATTAATTAAATTTCCAAGCTCTGAAAGGTTTACAGCCATGGCTTTTGTATATTACAATTCTGTACTCCCTTACCTTAGAATCATCCTTGACCTAACCTAACATGTAGTTTTCTATATCCAAGTTAAATCTTAATTGCAACTCAATTCTGATAAATCTGACATTTAAATCAAAACAACCTTTAAGAACGAGATGCTTATAATACATCACATTAAATATACAAATTAAACCCTTTACTAAAGACTTACATGAAATAATCACACACAATATTCTTTTAATGCAGATGTGAGCATAATAACATAGAGTTTTACATTTTAATTCTAGTCTTCTCTATTAAATATGCATACTTTCATTATTCTAAATATTTTAATTATTAAATTTCACACTTTAACTATATCATCTTGACTACGTGTAAATTGCATTTTACATTTCAAAGCAAACGTTTTCATGTGCTTTGGTTTGCCTTTTTTTTTTTCAATTCTTATATGGTATGCACTACACACTTATAATCACACAGTTCATATACTGCAAACCTCAAATACCTGAATAATGACAGAATAATCCATCATCACATTAAAAATGCACAATAATGCATAATAATAATTCAAATTATGAAATCAGATAAATACATTTTACACTAACATGTCTGAATGATGACTGACAACATAAACATCTAAAAATGTTTAAATCAGCATAATTTCAAGAACACATTCAGCTACATTACAGTTCTAAATTCATGCTATCATGCATATCCACTGTCATAAGTTAAAATTTAATACATAGTTGTAAAAATTCTTATATTCAAGACTAGAATTTTAAACACCACTAATAAGATCTTACTAAGAATGAATTTCAGTAAAAACAGATTCTAAATAACAAGAATGTAGGGTAATTATACATTTTTAATGGCTACAGATGGAATATATTTTCATGATGCACATACACACACTGCTTGGTCACTTTATTAAGAATGATACCTAATAATGGGCTGGGCCACCTTTTGACTGAATAACAGCCATGATGTGATGTGACATAGAATCCACACCTTGCTTTTGATGCAATTTAGGTATTTCCAAAGACCTCAAAAGGCCATGACTTAGCTTAGTTACTGATTTATCCTTCAATAGAGAAAAGCAACATCAGCAGACTAGAAACTAACAACTTATTTTTAACTGTGTAGTGGGACATGTGGCTCTGGTACAAATTTAATGATAATAATATAGTGTACAATGCTCATGCTAAAAACTGCTATTATTCTAAAGTTACAGGTTGTTACATCACATATAATAATTTCATATAATCTGAATATTCTGTTTTGGTTTTATAGGACTGTGAACATTTATCAAGAGACACATGGATCTACCATTAGTTCTGCTCTTGAATCAGGTGAACTTGTGGCTACATTTACTGAGAATACATACAGTTGTAAGGAAGTCAAAATGAATATTAAGTATGACTATTGATAACAGCAATGAATAAACTGTTGTAATTACCAGATGACACCTGAACATGAAACAAAGAATGATGGTATATAAATCTTTGATCCTGCTGATTATTCAGATTGATCCTTATAGCCTGAGATCAGTATACTTCTGATGAACAAAGAAGACACCACTTTATCTCTAAGCAAGAAATATGTTGTATAAGTTCGTATAAATACATTAAGTAACCAAAGTCTATAACATAAAAAGAAAAAAACGTGAATAGTGTCTTTACCATGTTCGTTTTTGGTACATATTGATGTTCTTAAAGGTTTTCTGTTAAAGACTAAAAGAATGTAATGAGACATTGTTGCTAATGAAATAGCAGCATATCACACAGTAAAGTAACAAACATAATGTGGGTGACTGCTCAACAGTAAAATAATGCTGCTGTTGAATGTCGCCATTCTGTACTAAATATGGTAAATGATTGCGGCAGATGTCTGGTAACAGATATGGTTAAATTTCACAGGTCTTCTTTTTAAACTGTTACGTCTAATAGCAAAACGTATCAGAAATGGCCACATATACCATGACAGAGATGAAGAAGTACATCAGATATAAAACGAACTTTATATTAATTACCTTACTTACAGAAGAATCATTAGGGCTAGAGTTGGTAGCCTTATGTATATGTTAGCATTAGGTATCCTCCAAAATAGAGAGAGCATGGTACCCAACACTCCAATAAGGAAGAGGTTACAGTGGTAATTTGTAAGGTATAGTAAAAGGTGAAATAGTCCTTCAAGCACAGCCTTGCCCTTTTGAATGACTGGTTTGTATTCATATATCTGGCTTGACCACAGGCAAGCAACTGCTAAACTTGGTGAAGAAAGTCTGTGAAGATATTGTTCTGAACCTTTCAATTCATAATAGGTCAGACTTACAATGGCAAGGGAATATGGAAGGGTTGTACAAAGAAGTGGTTCTCAACATGGGCCACAGTAAATTCTGAGTGGACCAATAAAACTTCACTGAAGAAAGTCTGTGAAGATATTGTTCTGAACCTTTCAATTCATAATACGTCAGACTTACAATGGCAAGGGAATATGGAAGGGTTGTACAAAGAAGTGGTTCTCAACGTGGGCCACAGTAAATTCTGAGTGGACCAATAAAACTTCACTGCCCCAATAAAATATTTAAAACTGAATCAAGGTTTCACTTCTCCCCATATCCCCCACAGCTCAGAAGTCAAGTTACCAGACACAACTAGTACTAGAGTAACAATCAAAATGTTTGTCTAGTATCTGTGAATGTTTTTGACTGATTCTCAAGACCAGCAGAGTGATATAACAGCCCAAGCTAGATTCAAATGTGACAAACATTATTTCCGGATAAGTATTGAAATAGCTAATAAGTATCCACAGCTCTGGGAGAAGGCAAAGGTGTATTTTATAACTTTTCCCACATCTTATCTGGTTGAATCTGGTTTTAGTTGGATAACTTATTTACTATCAAAAATACGAAACTGCCTTGATGTTGTGAAGAGAGGTGATCTTTGTTTATCACTGACCACACTGCAACCAGAAATTCAAAAACTTTCAAATGTTCATCAGGCCCAAGGATCACAATGAATAAAATGTTGATGATTAAGAGAATATTTTTTATTTGTATAAATAAACAGTATGTTATAAACAAAATATTTAAAAACAATACAATATTGTAAAAATAATATTATAAATCAACAGGGTGGAAATAAAGTAACTTTTTTCCTAAGGAACAGCATCTACAAAGGGTGGGGCTACATAGATAAATCAAACTCAAAAGGGAGCCACGAGCAAAAAAAGGTTGAGAAACACACTGGTGTAGAGCACTGAAGATGCTGGTGCAGAAAGAAAGGCAATTGAGAAAAGCACAAAATGTAGCAACATCATAATAAAGAACTTTTTCAGCATCATCAAGGGAAATTTTTGTCTTCATCAGTTGTCACTGTAACCACAGCATATTCATTTCAACAAATGTTGGAAGTACAGACAAAAAGGGTAAAGTGTACTTCAAGTGTGCTACAATTACAAGGCAGGGCAGCAAATGTTTGACCTGCTTCACCTTATAAGTCTATGTTGAAATTATTCATAGTCTCCAAAGCATTAAAGATGACAAAGAAAGATAAAATTGCAACCACATCTACGCTATAAATAAAAAAGGTTTGAAATCTTTGAATTTGCTGTACTATTTCTTATTTGCCTGAAACTACTTCAGAAATTAGCTCTGGTGACATTAATACTACAAGGAGTAGCAACTGCCTTAGGTGCTATGCAATGAACAATTTAGGATGTCACTGGAAATCTATGTAGTTTAAGAAGCAATCAGGCATTGGCAGAGATATAGAAAAATTCAAAAGTGTATTGTAAGGTAAACTTCATTTCTCTACAAAAGGAACTTTTTGATGAAGTTACACTGACAAACATCAACCCAGCAATGTGAAAGAGATATTAAGGATATAGGTGCACTCTATGATGCTACACAATTGTTATTACAGCTGCACAAGTGATTCAGTGACAATACTCTTGATATATTAAAATAGGTAAATGTATTCATACACAGAAGTATTACCAGATGACAGAGTAATGAATGTGATAGGAATCGGTTGTTAGAGTTTGTCAGAATTTAAAACATAGTTTTTTGCCAATTGTCAATTAAAAGACTTTTACTTATATTTCTTAATAGTAGAAATATATATTATGTTGTTCTTGGGCTTAGGATTCTTCTACAGTAGGTGTCTGTGACTTGTTAGCAATAAATTCAACGATGAATAAACAGCACAC